AGAGAGGTGCTACCTCCAAGATTTTAACAATTGTAAAGGTCATTAGAAACCAGTAATATGATGACTATTTAAAAAATAACTAATGCTAAAATAAAATGGTAAGGATGAAAACAATGTCCAGGTTAGAGGAAGAGATAATTTCACTTTACTCCACAACAATCACCGTCTGTGTTCTTCAAACTATATAATGCTGCAACCTTCGTAATGAGTAAATATATAGTAATCACTATGCAAGTGAAAAGAGAGGTGATGTCAAAATTTTCTGAGGAAAGATTTCTACAAATGCCTAGAGTTCACTACCGACCTTTCTTTCCTCTAGTGGTTCCTGTTACCCATCACGTGTCCTGAAGTTTGATACGTACACAATTAGTTCAGGGGCCCAACCATTTTAATTTGTAAGGAATTTCAGGGTACATAAAACATCTGCAAGTTATTTAAACCCAACTTCACATAGAGGAATTAAACACATAGAAGAATGCAGCAGGAAAGGAGAGATGTGAAAGATACTAGACATTTGATAGAATCTGGGTTTGTTCCAAAATCAAATTCACTGCTTTTTGAATGCTTAATGCTTATTCGTTCCACTCCCTACTTCCCTCCTTCTGGGGGATAACAACAACAGTAACAACTCTTTTTCCTCTTCCTTACTTTCTCTGTCAAAGATAACTTTACCCAGGATCAAGGCCTTACTTAGAATTGTCTCTGCCCCCACTCTCTTTCTTCTCTCTGCTCTTCCCAGCTATCACAAATTCCTTTGATTCCAGCTTTAGAATATCTCTCATATTCTTCCCTTCCTTTCTGTTAGCTCTGCTACTCTTTTGGTGCAGCCCAATAATCTCTTGCCTGCAACAGCTTCCTAACAATATCCCCATGTTGAGTCTCTTTTTCTTCCCCTATTGACTGCAGAATTAAATCCAAATGTCCAAATAAGGCATATTATGATTTAGCGTCATTCCACCTTTAGCACTGTCTTTCACTACCTTTATGCATGTCTTGTTTTAGCTAAAGCAGAAGTGCCTTTTCTAATGCTCTTCTGTCCTCCAGTATACCCTTTCTTTACTTGTTTTTTTTTTTTCTTTTCTAAATTTTACCCATCTCTTTAAGGGTTCATTCAAAATCCATTCTTCTCCACAAACCCCTCACCAAGAACACATTATACCTTCTTATGTCTTACAGCACTTTACACATTTTTGTCTTGCATCATAGTTCTTTGCCTATCAGTTTTTACAAAATTATGAAGTCCTCAATATTAACAATTGTCTTGTTCACTTACTCCCAATGTGTGGAACAGCTATGTGTATGTAAGGGAAAGGGTATGAGATAAACCAAGGTTTAATATCTGCCTTTATCAAACAGCACATATGGCAACATATTTTAATTCCTTTAAATCCCAATATCCAGAGCTTTATGAGAAATTCTTGCAGAAGTAAAAAACTGAAATAATAATCTATTATTTGGCGTACAGTAGGCATTCGATAAGTAAGGTTCATCTCTTTTTTCCTGTGCTTTCCCACAGTACTCACCAGAGTACCTTGAAGACAAACTCAATAAATAGTGATAAAGTTTAGTAAAGTCCAAAAGCATGGAGAACTTGAACTAAATAATGTTATAGGAATTGAAAAATGAAAGAACAGCTTTGAAAATATTATAAAGCTAGAACAGACATGACTCAGGAGAAAAATGGCTGAGATTTTGAGCTTCAGAATATTTTGCTATTTAACAGATAAAAAATGAGAGCATAGTTGGCAAAGGAGTTAAAGGTAACCCCAAGTTTCTTACCTCAGCTTACAACATTGCCTTTTAGAAATGCCTGGTTGGTATTAAGGGTTGAACCAGGAAGGAAATGATTGTTCTATTTTCAGATATCTTGAGCTTCTAAATAACTACTCAGTAAACTTTCCATGTGTACTGATTTGGTCATCACCGAAAGACAGTATTTACCTGTTCTTATTAAAGATTTATTTTTGTAGAGCTGGAGGTCTCAATGTGTTGCCTAGGCTGGTCTCAAACTCCTGGCCTCAAGCAATCCTCCCAACTCAGCCTCCCAAAGTGTTTGTACTACAGGTACGAAGCACTACGCCAAACCAAGATTTTTAATGGAAAAGTCACCATCACATCACCATGTCAGTTTTTGTACATTAATTCTGAATCAAAGGAAGTTCTGAAAACCTTTGTATTAACCTGTTTACCTTGTTGACCTTAGAGTCAAATGTAAGTAAGTCCTTTATTTTAAAACAACTAAGAAATAATTTAGATATTATATATAATAGAATTTTTTTTTTTTTTTTTTTTTTTGAGGCAATCTCACTTTGTCGCCCAGGCTGGAACGCAGTGGCGCAATATTGGCTCACTGCAACTTCCACCTCCTGGGTTCAAGAGATTCTCATACTTCAGCCTCCCAAATAGCTGGGATTACAGGCATGTGCCAACACGCCCAGCTAATTTTTTGTATTTTTAGTAGAGACAGGGTTTTGCCATGTTGGCCAGGCTGGTCTCAAACTCCTGGGCTCAAGTGATCTGCCCGCCTCTGCCTCCCAAAGTGCTGGGATTACAGGCATGAGCCATGACACCCAGCCTGAGATACATTTTTAATACTCTTCAAGTCCTTTCTAAAATGTTTCTGATTTATAATTATCTTGAGCACATAATATTTTTAAGCAAATCTTTTTAATCCATACATTGGCACTAATATTAAGATTAGTTTGAAGATACCCAGTATAACTTAAATATTTATGGAGTTTTTAGAAGTAGAGAGTCATATATGTTTTTTGCACAAATTAATATAGATATATACAAAGAGCAATATGTTAAATGTTTGCCCCTACTCATTTTCTGACCCAATTTCGCATTTCCCAAACCCCATTAAATTTAGCATATATCTTTTCAGATTTTTTTCTGTGGATACTGAGTTAACACACAAGATCTGACTGTCAAATCAGACTCATCAGGTTTACTAATTATTTCAAGGATACAGGCAGTCAAAAGACTCAACCGAAGCATAGTGTCTAATACATGAAAGGTGACTTCTCAGACCATGTGATGTGGTTAGGCTTTGTGTCCCCACCCAAATCTCATACTGAATTGTAATCCCCATAATCCCCACATGTTAAGCAGAGACCAGGTGGAGGTAATTGAATTGGGGGCAGTTTCCCCCATGTTGTTATCATGATAGTGAGTTCTCCCGAGATCTGATGGTTTTATAAGGGGCTTTTCTCGCTTCACTCAGCACTTCTCCTTCCTACCACCTTGAAAGGAAGTGGCTTGCTTCCCTTTCACCTTCCACCATGACTGTAAGTTTCCTAAGGCCTCCCCAGCCATGCAAAACTGTGAGTCAATTAAATCTCTTTCCTTTATAAATTACCCAGTCTTTGGTATATCTTTGTAACATGTAAGAACAGACCAATACACCATGTTTTCCCACTTTGGACTTGTATCTCTGGCCCAGAATAAATAGGTAAGGTTTCTAAGTAAGATTCACAAGATCACCTCACACGGTGGGGTGTTTAAATTGTGACTCATCTCCATGTTATACCCTAGAGAGTTGTGTACCTTATGTGGCATTCTTCAGAGAGAGATGCCTCATAGAATCTGGGTTTATTTACTACAGGTAATCTTTAGCCAGGGACATCTTGCTAAGAGCATTTTAGTGGTAAGATCTCTTCCTCCAAGCAAATATCATTAGGCTTTTTACTTGAGGTCCGGTTGTCAACCATCCTTCTCTTTTTCCCTCTTCTCCAGGAAAGGAAGTGAATGGATTGGAGGCCAATTGCATTATTCCTTCCTTATAGTAAATAGATATGTATATATTTAAGTTGGGGTTGTATATGTTGGGTTGTTTCTACTAAAATTGGATTTTATGATTGAACAATTGATTGATAGAGTTCTATACATTGTTTTTCCCATTAATACATCATGGGCATTTCTCCATGACATTACATATGATTTTAACTCATCCATTTAAACTACCAGGTAGAAAGTCCAATTTTGATGTTATATGATTGGCACCCTATGTATAAACTGGTAAACTTCTATAAAATAAATGTTAGCTGTTAGGAACTTTAGATTGAAGTACAGACCCCAAGTGTAAATGTAGTAATTTGGCGTAGATTATTTATTAAGTGAGAAACACTTTTAGCAAAAGTTGTAGAAGCTAATATGTGAATATGACTGTAGCTTTGAAGGGCTTGTCTGAGCTCTATTTAGTGAAATTTGTGTGGTTGTGTTTGTACCAGCCGTGGAAGAAGGTTGTCTACCACAGGTTAAGATAGTTTGTTGGCCGGGCTCAGTGGCTCATGCCTGTAATCCCAGAACTTTGGGAGGCCAAGGTTAAGATAGTTTGTTGGCCGGGCTCAGTGGCTCATGCCCGTAATCCCAGAACTTTGGGAGGCCAAGGTGGGTTGGATCACCTGAGCTCAGGAGTTGGAGACTAGCCTGGGCAACATGGTGAAACCCCATCTCTACAAAAAATAAAAAAAATTAGCCAGGCACAGTGGCATGCACCTGTACTCCCAGCTACTCAGGAAGCTGAGATAGGAGAATCACGCTCTGGCCTGGGTGACAGAGCCAGACCCTGTTTCAAAAAAAAAAAAAAAAGATGGTTTGTGGTTCCCCCATGTGATTCTCAGATGACATTGGTGATGTATCTGGAATCATTAGCTATCTTAAAATTGACTGCATTTCTTGAGATTGTTAGCTTTAAAACATAAAATGCCAAGACTGGATTTCTTAGCCCAGACTTTCAATACTGGTGCCCCAGTAACTTTTCCTTCAGAATGGTATTTTGTAGACTAAAAAATATGTTAGCATATTAAATATTAGAGTCTTACAAAATATTCATATTAAAATTTTTATCCTAATGAGCAAAAATGTATTACTGTAGCTTTGCAAGCACTCAGAAAATTAAGATTTGAGATGGTATATGAAATATAGTAGTTGAAAATTAAAAATATTACTTTAACGATTTAATATAATCTTCTGTCTTACCTCTCTTTTATTGATAGATACCACACTGAATGAACAAAGACTGAACCTTTACAGATACCTTTTATAAAAGATGTCTGTGGAGTAGTGTTACAGTTCAAATAACAAAGGATTTTGCATTATGAGGTAGGTTGAAAATAGAAGGAATATGTCCTAATGTCACTTTTTAAATGTAGTGGGTAAACTTCATATATGTCATCTTATTTAATCCATACAAGGAAAGTATTGTCCTTTTGATGACTGACTCAGAGAAGGGAAATAACTTCCTGACTTATATTTGGGGAATTAGGATTTAAACTCAGATCCTTCTAACTCTGAAGCTCATTTTCTTTTCTTCTCTCCATTCTGTCTTCTACCTTATGCAGAAAGCCACTGTATCAGTTCTTGTGGTAAATATAAGGAAGATATTATGAAGCTTGAGCAGGAAAATATTAATATGTCAAGAGATATTGTAGATCCCCAGATTCTTCCTTTACAGTAATCAAAGGTTACAACACAATATGCAGCAGTCTTACCCTTGACTTTGCCTTGTTTTCAAGGCACAGGATTTTAGAATGCTAGCACTGGAAGGTAAAATGTCTAATGATCGTACTTCCTTAGTTTATAGAAGAAGAAACTGAGATCCGGAGGAGTGGTGATTGTTTTTAGCTAGTCATGGGCATGACTAAGCCAATAAATGAGATCTGATTCCCTGTCCAGTGTTCTTTCCTTTTATATGGTATAGCTACTCACTTGTATCATCTTTGCTGTATAATAGTATCCTGGAGAAAGAATAGTCTTTTGTATACTACATTACAATAGTCTTTTCCCATTCTACTCTCCTCACACTCTGAGACTTGGATGAGCTACTCTGGAGCTCATTTCTAACTCTGAAGCTCATTTTCTTTCTTTCTTTCTTTTTCTTTCTTTCCTTCTTTCTTTCTTTCTTTCTTTCTCTTTCTTTCTTTCTTTCTTTCTTTCTTTTTCTTTCTTTTCTTTCTTAAATAAACAAATGTTATTTATTTTTCCTAGATCTCTTTAATCTGTGGTATCTGGGATACCAAAAGTAGTAGATACATTTACTGAAATGAAACATAGACCTGCTGTGCTTTTTTAGAGAACTCATCTAGTTTTCCCCGTTGATAATCATGTCAGAAACTGCATTTTATTTCATATGTGGTGGTTGAGATTAAAGTACCATAATTACAGTCATGTCTTAGCCTTGGATTGGGAGAACTTGGATTCAAACCTTGACTCCACCATTAATCGCTGAGCAAATAACTTTGACCTCTCTAAGTATGTTTCTTCAACCCGAAAAATGGAAGTGGCAATCTCTGTCTTGCCCTAATTCTTAATCTACTATATTCTAGTCTAGTATATTTTAGGCTCAGTCTTCAGAGCCCAGAGGTCTAAGAAATAGTCAAAGGGCTCTGTGATAACTTGTGTTTCATTGAAATTTTAAAAATAACTTTCAAAGGATTATAAAGTAATATTCAATGTAGAAAAATACAGAAAATACACATCATTCATAATTGTGTTCTGAAAATGTTAGTGTCCTTTTCCCTACATTTACATTTTAGTTACTCTTACATGGTTGGCTTTAAATATATTCAGAGATTATTTTCTGTTATGGCTTGAACCCATAACAGTTTACTCCTTACCTCATTTAAAAGTGTGGAGTCAGGCAGTACAAGGCTGTTAGGATAGTTCCATGATCATCAGAGAGGACCTAGACATTTTCTGTCTTTTTATTCTAAGGCCCTGACTTACTTCCTCACGTTCTTTGATGACTGTTTCATTTCTAACCATGGCATCCTCATTTCAGCAGCAGAAGGGAGGATCCCTCCTAGAATCCTACACAGCACTTCAGCTTTCTTCTTATTGACCAGAATTTATTCACATGACTACATGTTGCTTTAACAATGGCCAGAACATGTAGTCTTTTAGCTAGACACATTTCCTAAGGTTTGTTACTAAGGAAGAAGTAAAAAATATATTGGGAGACAACTGGTAGTGTCTGTCACAAACAGAAACATAAAACTTTATGTTAGAAATAATTCTAATCATAGGATTATCTACGGAAGCTCATACTTTGATTTGAAAGTAAGCGAAACTCTATTCGTAAACTTTTAGTTCAGACCAAATATATTAAAACTCTTAAGTGCTATTTTTCAATTTATAGTTCTTTGGGGTATATACCTAGGGTAGAATAAATATGGAGTAATTTCTTCTTAAATAAATGTTATTTATTTTTTCAGGGTATAAAAAAATGCTCAAAAAATTAGGGCTTTACAAGCACAGAGAGACAAATACCGTATGATCTCACTTGTACGTGGAATCTAAAAACTTAGGGAAGTAGAGAGTAGAATGGTGGTTACCAGAGGCTGGGTGGTAGGGTGAGGGAGGGGACAGAGAAAGGAAAGACATTTGTCAAGGGGTACAAAGTTACAGTTAGATAGGAGAATAAGTTCTGGTGTTCTGTTGCACAAGAAGGTGACTATAGTTCATGTATATTCAAAATGTATTTATTATTTTAATATTTTTTAAAGTAGCTGTAAGAGATTAAGTGTTCACATTGCAAATAAATGATAAACATTTGAAGTAATGGCTATGCTAATTCACCAAATTTGATTATTCCACATTATATATAGGTACTGAACTATCATATATATAAATATATACAATTATTACTTGTCAATTAAAAATAAAACTATATAAAAATATTGTTATAAAAATAAAGTATGTTTAAACATTTTTAAAAGTTAGGCTTTATTTTCAGATTTATAAGAAGCAAATTAATAAAATGAAGATAAATTTTGTGAATTTTCAGATGATTGGTCTATGTTGATGTAATTATAAACTTTGAATTATTTAATCTTTGTAACAAGATTGTGTTTGGTTTCAGATGAATGAGAGTGGAGAATTGGACAAAAATTGATTTTTAGTTTCTGAATCATGGTTTTTAGCTCACCAGTTATTGTATAGTCTCACTCTTTGAAAGTTCATGCTGAAAAACTGAGTGAATATGATCAGATTTCTCCACCAAATTCTCAGCCTGATAAGGGTAAGTAAGGTTCCATTCACCTCTTTGTTCATCTCTGTGCCATCTGTGGTCCTTTGGAACTGGCTTCTTTCACATAGCATAATGTCTTCAAGCTTCATTCGTGTTGTACCATATATCAGTACTTCATTCCTTTTTACTGCTAAATAATATTATATGAATATACCGCATTTTGTTTATCCATTTATCAGTTGATGGGCATTGGGTTGATTATTTCTACTTTTTAGTTGTGATGAATAGTGCTGTTGTGAACATTTGTGTACAACTTCTTGCATAGACATAGGTTTTCATTCTTTTGGCTGTATATGGGTGGAATTGCTAAGTGGAATTGATGAAACTGCTGCTAAGTTATTTTCCAAAGTAGGTGCACCATTTTACATTTCCACAAACAATGAATGAAGTTTCCAATTTTTCCACATTCTTGCTAACACTTTCTATTATCTTTTTTTGACTATAGCCCTCCTAGTAGATGTAAAGTAAAATCTTTTTATTACCAAAAATTTTCAAATATACTCAAAAATAGAGAAAATTGTATAATGAACCCTCATGTATCCATCATCCAGTTTCAACAATTATCAACATCTTTTAAATCTCATTAGTGACTTTTTTTTTTTGATAGAGTCTCTCTCTGTCACCCAGGCTGGAGTACAATGGCACGATCTCGGCTCACTGCAACCTCCACCTCCCGGGTTCAAGCAATTCTCTTGCCTCAGGCTCCTGAGTAGCTGGGACTATAGTCATGTGCCACCACACCCAGCTAATTTTTTGTATTTTTAGTAGAGATGGGGGTTTCACCATGTTGGCCAGGCTGGTCTCGAACTCGTGACCTCAGGTGATCTGCCTGCGTCAGCCTCCCAAAGTGCTGGGATTACAGGCCTGAGCCACTGCGCCTGGCCATTAGTGACTTTTTAAAAACAGCATTATTGAGGCATAGTTAGCATACAGTGAACTGTATGTATTTAAGGTATACAATTTGGTAGGTTTTGGCACATGTATATAGCCATGAAATGATCACCACAATCAAGGTAATGGACATATCCATCATCCCCCAAAAAACGCCCCTTTAGAATCTTTTCTTCCCACCTCTCCCCAAGCAACCACTGTTAGAGTTTCCATTTTCTAGAGTTTTATATAAATGGAATCATATCGTATGTACTCTTTTGTCAGCCTTCTATTACTTTTTATTTATTTATTTATTTAATTTATTTATTTTTAGAAATGGGTTCTCCCTGTGTTGGCCAGGTTGGTCTTGAACTTCTGGACTCAAGCAATTCTGCCACTTCAGCCTCCCAAAGTGCTGGGATTACAGGCATGAGCCACTATGCCTAGTGTGTCACTGTTTTGAATAGTAAAAAAGAATTATAATTATTTTCATTATTTTGAGATTCACTCACGTCATGTGTATCAATATAGTTTATTCCTTTTTATGACTGATAGTATTTCATTGTATCGTTATACCACTGTTTGATTTAATCTATTCCCCTGTTGATTGACATTTGAGTTTCTTTTCTTTCAGGGGCTATCACAAATAAAACTATATGAACATTCATGTGCAGATCTTTGTATAGGCACACAGTCATGTGTCACTTAACGACCAGGATACATTCTGAGAAATGTGTCATGATTTTCTCATTGTGCAAACATCATAGAGTGATGGTATAACTTACTATACACCTAGGCTATATGATATAGCCTGTTGCTCCTAGGCTACAAATCTGTACAGCATGTTACTATACTGAGTACTGTAGGCAGTTGTAGCACAACAGTAAGTGTTTGTGTATCTAAACCTATCTAAACAAAAAGAAACAGTAAAAATATGATATGAAAGATTAAAAAAAATAGTACACCAATATGGGGCATTTACCATGAATAGAGGAGCTTGCAGGACTGCAAGTTGTTCTGAGTCAGTGAGTGGTGAGTTAATGGGAAGGCGTAAGATACTACTGTACACTGCTGTAGACTATAAATACTGTACACTTAGGCTACACTAAATTATTTATTTATTTATTTATTTATTTAGAGACAAAGTCTCGCTCTGTCACCCAGGCTACAGTGCAGTGGCGCGATCTCGGCTCACTGCACCCTCTGCCTCCCAGGTTCAAGCAATTCTCCTGCCTCAGCCTCCCAAGTAGCTGGGATTACAGGTGCTCACACCACACCCAGCTAATTTTTGTATTATTACTAGAGATGGGGTTTCACCGTGTTGGCCAGGCTGGTCTCAAACTCCTAACCTGAGGTGATCTGCCTACTTCAGCCTCCCAAAGTGCTGGGATTACAGGCGTGAGCCACCATACCCAGCCCACTAAATTTATTTTTTAAATATTTTTCTTGTTTTAGTAATAAATTAACCCTAGCTTACTGTAATTTTTTCACTTTATAAACTTTTAATTTTTTTTAACTTTTTGACTCTTTTGTAATCACACTTAGGTTAAAACACATTGTCCAGCTGCACAAAAATATTTTATTTCTTTATATCTTTATCCTAGCCTTTTCCTATTCTTAAATTTTTAATTTTTTTATTTTTTTGAGATGGAGTCTAATGCTGTTGCCCTGGCTGGAGTGCAGAGGCACGATCTCAGCTCACTGCAACCTCTGCCTCCTAGATTCAGGCGATTCTCCAGCCTCAGCCTCCCCAGGAGCTGGGATTACAGGCATGTGCCACCATGCCCAGCTAATTTTTGTATTTTTAGTAGAGTCGGGGTTTCACAATATTGACCAGGCTGGTCTCGAACTCCTGACTTCAAGTGATCCACCCACTTGGCCTCCCAAAGTTCTGGGATTACAGGCATGGACCACCACACCTGGCCCTATATATATTTTTTTCACTTGGTAAACTTTTTTATGAAAAGCTAAGACACAAACACACACATTGGCCTAAGCCTACACAGGGGTCAGGATCATCATCACTGTCTTCTACCTCCACATCTTGTGCCACTGGAGGGTCTTCAGGGGCAGTAACATGCATGGAGCTATCATCTCCTATGGTGCCATCTTCTGGAATACCCTCTGAAGGACCTACCTGAGGCTGTTTTACAGTTAACTTTTTTTCAATAAGGAGAAAGAATATACTCTAAAATAACAATTTAAAATATAGTATAGTAAATCATAAACTAGTAATATAGTTATCAAATCTTATGTACTGTACATAGTATATGCTATACTTTTATATGGCAGTATAGTAGATTTGTTTATACCAGCGTCACTACAAACACATGAATAATGCATTGTGCATTATTCACATTATTGTGAATTTTTCAGCTCCACTATAATTTTATGGGACCACCATCATATATTCATTTAGTCCATTGTTGACCAAAACATTGTTATACAGTGCATGACTGTATCTCTTTTTCCTTTAAGTAAATACCTAGAAATAGAATAACTGCATTCATATGGTAAATGTATGTTTAACTTCTTAAGAAATTGCCAAACTGTTTTTCAAGTGGTTATACCATTTTACATTCCTATCAACAATGTATGAGAGTTCCAGATCCTTATCAGCACTGGTATTGTCAGTCTTTTTCATTTTAGTCATTTCTAGTAAGTGCATAGTGGTATCTCATTGTGGTTTTAATTCATATTTACTTGCTGATCAGTGCTTTTAAACATCTGTTCTTGTGCTTATTGGCTATTTGCATATATTCTTTTCTGAAGTATAGGTTAAAATAGTTTGCCCATATTTAAGCAAGTATTTGTTACATTATTTTTTATTAGTTTTCTAGTCAGAATTTTTATACTATTTAAGTTGAACAGGAACTATGTTTTCTAACTTGACAAACTAGGCTTCATTTAGATTTTCTTTTTAACCTCAAATTTCCAAATTTGAAAAACTGGCTGATCATTAGCCTCAAAAAATTAGGAGGGAGTATATCCCATGTAGAATTGAACATTTCTTCCCTTTAGCAGAAACAAGCCTTGTTTCTGAGAGCTGAAGAAATATTCAGTTCTATATGGGATATACACCCTCCTAATTTTTTGAGATAAACTGTATCACCAAAAATATAAAGGGCAGGTGGGACACAGTAGCTCCCACCTGTAATCCCAGCACTTTGGGAGGCTGAGGCAGGCAGATCACCTGAGGTCAGGAGTTGGAGACCAGCCTGGCCGACATGGTGAAACCCCATCTCTACTAAAAATACAAAAATTAGCCAGGCGTGGTGGTGCGCACCTGTAGTCCCAGCTACTCAGGAGGCTGAGGCAAGAGAATCACTCGAACCCCAGAGGTAGAGGTTGCAGTGAGACGAGATCGTGCCATTGAACTCCAGCCAGGGCGATAGGGCAAGACTCCGTCTCAAAAAAAAAATATATATATATACACACACACACACACACACACATATATATATGGCATTATAATTTCATGGTAAGTACATTTTCTGCTGTATTTGTATTTATTCAGGATTTGAGGTGAGGAAAGGAAAGAATCAGGAACAGTCCTGCCCCTCCCCCCAAAAAAGAATCAAGCAAACAAAAACGGTGTATCTACTGTAAGCTTCTTCTGAAACTTTTCTCCACATCAGCCCTATCCCCTTTCAGTTTTTACCCTGTTTCTTCCCTTATGCCTCTCACCAGTACTTTAAGAGAGAACAAACCAGAAGACATTCTAGAATGCTTTTTTCACCAATCGGAAGTAGTGGAATGAAATCCAAGCCTACACAGAAGATACAGAACTCTGTTCCTTCATCTTCCCTCATACCTGATACCTAAAAGTAGTTTTCATCGTATAACTGAATTTCCAATTTTCAGCATTCCCAATCCATTTTATAAACATCCTTTTATTGTTAAGTCTTACAGTACTCTCGCCAGGTGAGTATGTTTATTTTATCTTGAGTAAACTGAAGATTTTAAAAATCAAATTCTATATCTGTGGTTCTTTTACTTGTCTTAGAAACCTAATATATAGGAAACCAATTCATGAGAACTTCAGAAATTATTTGAACATTAATACCAAGACACCCACCGTGGTTGTGTGGTTCCTATCTACACATCCCTGCTTGTCTCACATTTTGTCCCTATGACAGCAACATGTGTATCAGTTCCCTTCTGCCCTTTTCCTCTTACTTCTAAGAAGGTTAAAGTTACTGGTACATGACCTGGGAGGTATCTGACCATCCTGATGCTACCCTTTGGCATATAATGTCAAGATACTCAACTTTTATGCTGAACTAAGTTGTAATTTGTTTGAGCTGCTTTGTTTTTCAAAGCTCTTACCAAGAGCAAAGGAGGCCGGGTGCAGTGGCTCATGCCTGTAATCCTAGCAGTTTGGGAGGCCGAGGTGGGTAGATCGCTTGAGGCCAGGACTTTGAGACCAGCCTGGTCAACATGGTGAAACCCTGTGTCTACTAAAAATACAAAAATTAGCTGGACATGGTGGCATGCGCCTGTAATCCCAGCTTCTCGGGAGTCTGAGGCAGGAGAATCGCTTGAACCCAGGAGGCAGAGGTTGCAGTGACCCAAGAGCACCCCCACTGCACTCCAGTCTGGGCGACAGAGCGAGACTCCATCTCGGAAAAAAAAAAAAAAAAAAAAAGAGCAAAGGAAATGCTCTGGACAAGATAATCTGGTAAGAATGTTCTCCCTTCTTTGCAGAAAATCCCATTTTGTCAACCTAATGAAGCATTCAAAGAAGACATATGACTCTTTTCAAGATGAACTTGAAGATTATATTAAAGTACAGAAAGCCAGAGGCTTAGAGCCAAAGACTTGTTTCAGAAAGATGAGAGGGGACTATTTGGAAACCTGTGGGTACAAAGGAGAGGTTAATTCCAGACCCACATATAGAATGTTTGACCAGAGACTCCCATCTGAAACCATCCAGACCTACCCAAGATCATGCAATATTTCACAAACAGTAGAAAATCCGTTGCCTCAGTGGTTACCAGCCCATGACAGCAGATTGAGACTAGACTCTCTGAGCTACTGTCAGTTCACCAGGGACTGTTTCTCAGAAAAACCAGTACCCCTGAACTTTAATCAGCAAGAATATATTTGTGGCTCACATGGTGTAGAATCTAGAGTTTACAAGCACTTCTCCTCAGATAACAGTATCAGTACTCATCAAGCCAGTCACAGACAGATATATCAGAAGAGGAAAAGGCGCCCAGAGGAAGGCAGAGAAAAATCAGAGGAGGAGCGGTCCAAGCATAAGAGAAAAAAAAGTTGTGAGGAAATTGATTTAGACAAACACAAGAGCATCCAAAGAAAGAAGACAGAGATGGAAATAGAAACTGTACATGTCAGTACAGAAAAGCTTAAGAATCGAAAGGAGAAAAAAAGCCGAGATGTAGTCTCTAAGAAAGAGGAACGTAAGCGTACAAAAAAGAAAAAGGAACAAGGCCAAGAAAGGACAGAGGAGGAAATGCTTTGGGACCAGTCTATTCTTGGATTTTGAAGCTTTCAAAGTTGGTTCTTCCAAAGTTAAGTTGAAAAAATAGGTGAGAGCTTGGTTTTATGATGTCCAACCACTTTTCTTATGTGAATAGGTTAACTTCTAACAAAGGCCAAGTGAACAGAAAGTGTTTAGCATGCTTGCTCTCCAACACAGAAATTACTTTTCTTCATATTCTAAAAGCATTATTACATTTTTTTGACATATAGTGTAATTTCCTTTAATGAAAGTGACTCTGCTTTTATTCATCAAATTGCTTTGATGGTAGAATTATTTTCTCTTGGGAGGTTATTTATTTTAAATTGGAGGATTAATGGACTTTGCACAATCTGTTTCTTGATTGGGTTTGTTACAGTTTTGAGTTGGGTATTTTATGTTCATTGATTTTTCTCTATGAAGCAATTTTTTTCTCCTGTATTAGATCTAACTTGCAGTGTATTTTCTAGGCTGGAAAGTGGAAAATGAAATACATTATAATCTTAGGTTACATAAAGTTTCTAAAGTTTCAAATAATCTTGATACAAAATCAGTTTATATTCTGGAAATATTTATAATAAAGTATTCTAATTTCTACATGTTGTTGTGTGTCAGTCTATTTAACAATGATTTTTCTTTTGGGAGGAGGAGGGAATAACTTGGCAGTTCATACTTAAGAGGCAAGATCTTTTGGGTAGGTCACACTTTAAAGTTGTAAAAGTTCCTTGCTTACTCACCTGTGAACCTGGTTTTTAAGGTGGAAATCTATGACTGAGTATTACAGGACCCCACCACTTACCCAAAGTTAGCTTTTGGGTCGGGGGTTTCCTCACTATAGTCCCTTCACTGGTCGCCAGAACGATGTTACAGGAAAGAGGTCTGAATCTAGACCCCAAGAGAGGGTTCTTGGATATCACACAAGAAAGAATTCAAGGCAAGCCCATAGAATAAAGTGAAAGCAAGTTTATTAGGAAAGTAAAGGAATAGAAGAATGGCTATTCCACAGACAGAGCAGCCCAGAGGGCTGCTGGTTGCCCATTTTTTATGGTAATTTCTTGATACGCATCCCCCTTTTAGGCCATATAGGGTAATTTCTGACGTTGCCATTTGTAAACTGGCATGGCCCTCGTGGAAGTTTAGCAGTGAGGACGACCAGTGGTCACTCTCGGTGGCCATCTTGGTTTTGGTGGGTTTTGTCCAGCTTCTTTTCTGCAACCTGTTTTATCAGCAAGGTTTTTATGATCTGTATTTTGTGCTGACCTCCTATGTCATCCTGTGGCTTACAGTGCCTTAACCATCTGGGAATACAGTCCAATAGGTTTCAGCCTCATTTTACCCAGCTGCTATTCAAGATGGAGTCACTCTAGTTACATGCCTCTGACATGCCTACAATTTTTTCAAATAGTTAAAACTGAAGAGAGAAGGGTTTATCGGAAATAAAATGCCATTAAATTATCTTGTCCTAATCAGTGTTTTCATTCTAATAATCCCCTTTTTTGTGATACGCATCTAAAGTATTTAAGCATCACTGTTTTGTTGTAGAGAGACTGATGGCCTGAGAATCTGAATCCCAGGAGTCTAGTCTCAGCTATGCCATGAAGTTGTTATGTGACTTCGAGGAAGTCAATTAGTTCATCTTCGTCATTATCAAATATGACTAGAAAGACTGGCCTCTAAAAATGCCTTGGATAACAAGGAGACTGTGAAATGAAAATTCCCAAGCCCCACTTAAAAAAAGAAAACAGAAAAAAATTCTCTTTGTATTCTGCAATGTTGTGCTTACATGTCTATTATAATATTAACATTAAAGTTGTTTTGCTAAAATTATTTTTACCATGGTAGGGAGATGGAAATTCACAAACAAAATAACTGCCCTTCCCATTTTGTATTCTAAAATACAACTTTTAGCCTGAAAAAATAAACACTGGATAAAATCATTATTACTTAAACTTTTATTAGCATGCCTATACTCTTAACTCTTCCCATCTGTTATTTTTTTAATCATCTGTGATTTTTAATTGTGTGTGTCACCTTGACTGGGCTAAGGGATGTCTGAGTATCTGGTAAACATTGTTTCTGGGTGTGTCTGTGAAGGTGTTTCCAGAAGAGATTAGTAACATTTGAATTGGTGAATTAGTAAAGCAGATGGCCTTCCCAATGTGATCATCCAATCTGTTGAGGCCCCAAGCAGAATAAAAAGGAGGAAAAAGGGCAAATTTGCCTACTCTTTTTTTGTTGAGACATCCATCTTCTCCTTTCCTTGGACATTGGTGCTCCTGGTTCTCAGGGTTTCACATTCAGCTAGAACTTACACCCTAACCTAATCCCACCCTAACCCCCAAGTTCCCAGGCCTTCACACTGACTGAATTAAACCACAGGCTTTCCTAGTTATGCATCTTACAGATGGCAGATTGTGGGTCTTCTCAGCCTCCATAATTTCACGTGAGCCAGTTCCCATAATAAATTTCAAACACACAGGCCAGGCACAGTGGCTCATGCCTGTAATGCCAGCACTTTGAGAGGCCATCAGAGGTCAGGAGTTTGAGACCAGCCTGACCAACATGGCGAAACCTTGTCTCTACCAAAAATACAAAATTAGCCAGGTGTGGTGGTGTGCGCCTATAATCCCAGCTACTCGGGAGGCTGAAGCAGGAGAGTCGTTTGAACCTGGGAGGCGTAGGTTGCAGTGAGCCAAGATCATACCATTGCATTCCAGCCTGGGGAAAAAAAGAGTAAAACTCCATCTCAAAAAAAAAAAAAAAAAAAATTCATCTTAGACGGTAGCCTAGAAGGGGAAGAGGCGACCATTAGAACCCAACATCAATTGTTATAGGAGTTATTAAGAAATTATTTTAGGCAGCTAGAGAGGAAAAGGGGATCCTTGGGAAGTTTTTGTTTCTTTTAAAGCAGTTCCAGAAACGTCTTATCTAGCAGGAAAGCCCCTGCTCTTAGAGCAGGGCTGCCAAGCTTTGCTATGCAAATCCCGGCCATTAGAAACTGGGTCTACCCAAACATGGCGATTCCCTGAGCCTTCTCCCTTGCCCCAACATATCCCCACGTGTGTAGAACGGCAAGACACCCTGTATTTGCATGTTAAAAGGCTAGGATGGGAGGGCCAGTTTTTTCACGGGCTACGTGAATGACATACCTGTCAAACCAATCCCCTGGGCCCTATGGAAACCAGACACTGCCTCCTCCAGCATCCCAATATAAGCAGCCCCTTTTCTGTGGCACACAGGGTTTTCTCTTTGTTCGAATCCCCCCTCCCTTTATCTCTGTACAGGGGAGCTGTTTTCTTCTTTCCTTCTTTCCAGCCTATTAAACTTTTTGCTTCTTAAAACCAATCCATGTGTGTCCATGTCAATCCTGTCAGCGCGAGACCAAAGACCCTGGTGTTCCTCCAGTCATCGCAGCTGTATCAAAATCACCAAGAACAGAAAAAGTAGACATTCCCGTTCCTTGATGACTTAATCCTAACAATAAGGAAATACACTTAGTGATATCTTTGTCTATAGGTAAGGAATATAACTTTTTTTTTTTTGGTTGGGACAAAATAATATAGGCTAAAAAACTATATTATTAGGTAGATTTATAACTGACTATGTGACTAGTCTTAGAGTGACTAAGTAGATCCCCAAATTAACTGTTCTTCCATGACACTGACAGAGTAAGATTATTTTGTGCAGTTTTACTGCCTGTTTTTAACATGTCTGGTCCACTGGTCAAAAGAGAACCAAAGTAGAGCACAAGTAGGCTGTGAATTATCAGTCCTAAAAGATACCTTCTTCTCTGAAAACCCCAAGATAGTATAGTCTTTATTGACAGGTATTACAAACAAGGTCAGCTGAATTATCAGCATTTTTAGAGTTGACAAAATTCTTTTTCACAGGTTATTTTGAGTCTAATGCTTGGGGGAAGTTCAAAACTACCGCTGACCCTTGAACAACATGGCCTTGAATCGCACAGGTCCACTTATACGCAGATTTTCTCCTGCCTCTGCCACACTTAAGACAGCAAGACCAAGGCCAGGTGTGGTGGGGCTCACGCCTGTAGTCTCAGCACTTTGGGAGTTCAAGGCCGACGGATCACCTGAGGTCGGGAGTTCGAGACCAGCCTGATCAACATGGAGAAACCCTGTCTCTACTAAAAATACAAAATTAGCCGGGCATGGTGATGCATGTTATTCCAGCTACTTGGGAGGCCGAGGCAGGAGAATCATTTGAACCCAGGAGGCAGAGGTTGCAGTGAGCTGAGATCACGCCATTGCACTCCAGCCTGGGCCACTAGAGCTAAACTCCATCTCAAAAAAAAAAAAAAAAAAAAAAAAAAAAGACAGCAAGACCAACCCCTCCTCTTCTCCTCCTGAGTCTACTCAACTAATGTTGAGGATGAGGATCTTTATGATGATCCACTTCTACTTAATAGTAAATCTATGTTCTCTTCCTTATGATTTTTAGTAACATTTTGTTCTCTAGCTTACTTTATTGTAAGAATACAGCATGCACTAGATGTAACATGCAAAATAGGTGTTAATCCACTGTTTATGATATGGTAAGTCTTCCAGTCAACAGCAGGCCATTAGTAAAGTTTTGGGAGAGTCACAAGTTATACTCGGCTTTTCTACTGCACAGGGTTCAGAGCCTCTAACCCCACATTGTTCAGGAGCCAACTACCTAAGAATATTCAGTAAGATACCCAAGTACTGTGATTTCTTCAAAATGGTTTCAAAATAGATGCCATGGTTCAGTAGTTAGCACACACAACTGAACTACACTTAGTAGAGCAGACAGATCCTTTTTCCAATTTTTAAATTAAAACCATAAAAATTGAGCAAGGGCACACTACAAGTATGTGATAATGACAGTCTTGAGGAAGTATGTAGGACAGCCAGGTACAATGATTCACACCCGTGATAAAAGAAAAACTTCAGGCCAGGCGCAGTGGCTCACGCCTGTAATCTCAGCACTTTGGGAGGCCAAGGCGGGCAGATCATGAGGTCAGGAGATCAAGACCATCCTGGCTACACGGTGAAACCCTGTCTCTACTAAAAATACAAAAAAATTAGCCAGGCGTGGTGGTGGGCGCCTGTAGTCTCAGCTACTGGGGAGGCTGAGGCAGGAGAATGGCATGAGCCCGCGAGGCAGAGCTTGCAGTGAGCCAGGATCGTGCCATTGCACTCCCGTCTGGGAAACAGAGCAAGACTCCATCTTAAAAAAAAAAAAAAAGGAAGGAGGGAGGGAGGGAGGGAGGCAGGAAGGAAGGACTTCAGCCAAATTAAATTTAAAGGAGTTTAATTGAGCAATAAACAGTTCAAGAATCGGGTAGCCTTCCCAGCCAGAGTAGGCTCGGACACTCCAGCGCAGTCACGCAGTGGAAGGTTTATGGACAGAAAATGGAAGTGAGGTACAGAGACAGCTGAATTTGGCTACAGCTTGGCATTTGCCTTATCTGAACATGGTTTGAACAGTTGGCTACATTTGGCCAAAACTCAGTGATTGGCACAAGTGTAGTCTGTTACTCCACTTGTCATGATATACAGACAAACCTTTAGGCCAAACTTATATATGTGAGGAGGCAGCTTTAGGCTAAACTTGAT